GAAAAGAAAAGAAAAGAAAAGAAAAGAAAAGAAAAGAAAAGAAAAGAAAAGAAAAGAAAAGAAAAGAAAAGAAAAGAAAAGAAAAGAAAAGAAAAGAAAAGAAAAGAAAAGAAAAGAAAAGAAAAGAAAAGAAAAGAAAAGAAAAGAAAAGAAAAGAAAAGAAAAGAAAAGAAAAGAAAAGAAAAGAAAAGAAAAGAAAAAAAGGATAACAAAGTTTTGAAAAAGGCTCGCAGTACTATGGCAGTGGGGTCTCTCCGGGATGCAGAGCCGTGGGGATGGGAATGGAGCTCCCCCAAATCTTACCTGGAAGTCTGGGGAGCGGGGCTAAGGGCAAGCGGCCCGATTTGGGGAGGGGAGAAGCGTTTGTTTGTTAACGGGCCGCATTTCTAGCGTGACGATAAATACATCCAGAGGTCAGTCAATGTATAACACGCGGCCCGGCTCCATCTGCAGCCCCCTCCTCGCTGCAGCCCCCCCTCAAACCCGCACCCCCCAGCCCCGAGCAGCTCCACAACTTCTCCTACGCCCAAAGAAGTCCCTGATTTATGGAGTTTGCCGATGCTAAGTGAATACTGTCTGTCAGGCAGCGCTGAAAGGCGCTCCGCACTAATACAAGAAAAGGGCTTTGTGTTGCTAAGCGATCAGAGCAGATGTAATGAGATTTACCCCAATCCTGCTTTGCCCTTTCCCTATCTTCAGTAAAATTGTGTGTGTGTATTTTCTTTCTTTCTTTCTTTCTTTCTTTCTTTCTTTCTTTCTTTCTTTCTTTCTTTCTTTCTTTCTTTCTTTCTTTCTTTCTTTCGGGAGGGGGGCCGAGGGGGGGAATTTCGGAGACGGCCTTACGCATTGTAGTGAACAACGGCGTAACTTTGCCTTTAGTTTAATGAGTCTGGATATTTACTATTCAGAAGTGAGCAAAAAAGAACACCTGTCTACACAAGGAAGAGAAATTTCGCCTTTGTAACAGAATGAAACATTATCCTAATGTTATATTCATAGCTATAAATTACCCGCTCTGCTTTCTTTGCATACCTTATCTGCACGCCGGCAAAAGTGGGTAAATAAAAAGGGAGATGCCGCAAAGGATGGAGGTGTATAGTGGTTATTATTTTCATAACTAAACATCGACTCCTAAACAGGGAGTGCTGCATTGGAGCAATGAGGGGTAACAGCGAGCTCCCCTCAGGGAAATGGCACTGGTCACTTCGGGGTGTGCGGCTGCAGGGAGTGCACTTGGAAGGCAATGTGGAGAGGTCACACTATACATTGGACATCGGAGCAGCCTGCCCAGGGAAGCGGTGGAGTCACCATCCCTAGAGGTGTTTATGGAAAGGGTAGATGTGGTACTAAGGGATATAGTTTAGTGGGCAGCAGTGGTGGTAAGTGGAAGGTTGGACTGGATGATCTTAGAGGACTTTTCCAACCGTAATGACTCCGTCATTGAGATGTCCACACATATCTGCACATCTACGTGTGAGGGTGCACAAACACACAACCTGCCACAGAACCCAGGGTGCTCCACCAAAGTTTTTCCCTCTTCTTTTTAAAGCAACGCATCCCCGCACAGTGAGGCTGGGTGGATAGCACTGCACACACACACACTCAAATACATACAAATACACACACACACACATCGCAGCTCTCTTCGCTCTTTGTTGGCTTTTTTTTTTTTTTTTTTTCCCCGTCTTTTTCTTTTTGGAAGATGCATTTTGCGCTTTGCTTTCCGCTCGGCTTGGTGCACGCCAACTGAATGTGCAATGTTGCTGGAGCCGGGCATGGAGCAGGAGGCGGATTCTGGTCACGTCCGTGCTCACTGACAACAAGCGGGCCAGCCAAAAAAAACGGAGGGGGGGGGGGGGGAAAGAAAAAGAGGAGGGGGATTGGGGGGAGGGGGGGGCAGGGGTCCAATTTCTTTTTGAATCTTGGTAATTGGGTACTTTTACACGCAGATCACGCTGTTTGGGCAGAATAACAAGTGTAGAAAGCCCGGTGTCTCAGAGCTGCCACCCATTCCTACTACGGTATTTATTTATTTTCTCCCCTTGCACCCCGCCTTCCTCCCCCCTCCCTCTACTCTATGTATGCAGCCAGGCCAGCACAGGGATGGGGCGCAGCACCTGATTTTGGGGCTCCATCCCTTGAGGGACACGCAGAGGGTGACACAGCATCCATCACCTTTAGGGTTGGGATTGCACAGTAGGGCAAGAAAGCAATGGTGATACCGCTCCATCTTTGCATATTTATATAAAGGCATACACGGTACATCTATCAGATACAAACACTTCATAGGTAGCTCAGCTCTGCCACAGGATCCTTCAACATTTCATCCTTACATTCACTGTTGTCAGTGGCAAAACACAAGTACGTGCAGCAGGCAGCCGAGCGTTTCAATTAAAAAAAGTTTTATTACGAAACTAGTTTGTATAAAACAGGGTTATACAGGGCCTGGTGAGCTTGTCATAGAGCAATACGAAAAAGGCAGTGCCAGCAGGGCCGGTTGTTTCCTTACTTGTAGTATTATCACTTGTTTTTTTTTTTGTTTTTGTTTTTGTTTTCCCCCAAAAGGCAGCATACAAAAACAGACGGCCGCCCTTCTGCGTTTGGACAATAGCTGCATAAACGTCGTTCCCTCGGAACACAGTTTAATAACGTTATTAATACATTAACAAAGTTTCTATAAAGTAAGACACGTCGGTGCTAAAGTACAGCTGGAGGGAGTCCAAGGCCTCGACAAAAGCACGGACCGAGATGGCAGCGGGAAAGTAACGCCGACCGCATGTCTACACACCAAGAGGTAAAAGCATCGTGTATTAAAAAACGTATCAAGATATACACATTTTAAACCATTTGTACAAAACCTCTATAAATCTCTCTCTCTCTTATGTACAAAAATAGCTTAATATATCCCCAAACTGGTCAGGGAGGATACAAATAGATTTTCTTATAATAAAAAAATTCACCAAAATAATTAAAAAAAAAAATTGGAAGCATTTTATGATTAAAAAAAAAAAAAAAAAAAAAGGTCAGACGGAAGGAGACTCTGGAACGGGTCAGGAAGGAGGGGGGGTTCTTTGAGTACAGCATAGCTTCATCTCGACATCTCCACTAACACCAGGAAACGTGGTCCAGAAAGCGCGGAGCGGCCGCACGGAGTAGACAGGCAGCAGGGAAAGGGCTCCTCGGTGCCACCGCGGGGCACAGAAAGGGGTTCGGGACTCCGGACTGAGGGTGGCCGCCCCGCCCGCCCCGCGGGGACGCAGCCGCCCGCCGAGAGCCGTGCCCGCACCGCCCTCCGACGGCGGGGGAGAGGAAAACGCAACAGTTGGTGGTGGGCCGGCGGTGGGGTGCTCTGCGAGCGTGGCTGCGGGAGAGGCGCTTATCTCCCCTTTCGCGAGCGTCCTGAAACGACAAGAGAGAGAGGAGGTCAGAGCCGCGCCGGGGAGAGAACCGACGGGGAAAGAGCAGTCGGGGAGAGCCGGAACCCCCTCCCCGGCCGCCGTCACGCACCCACCTACCGGGGCCGGCTCAGAACCAGCTGGTGAAGTCGAGCAGCTCCTGCTCCTCGGGGCTGAGCGGGTCGTAGGAACCCTCGTCGGAGGAGTAGGAGGAGACGGGGGAACCCGCCATGGAGTTCATGTCGTGGGAGTAACCGGGCGAGATGGTGGGAGACAGCACGCCGGCCTGGAAGGCGGCGCTGACGGCGTCGTGCTCGTCGAGCAGCTGCTGCAGGGCTCGAATGTACTCGACGGCGGAGCGCAGCGTCTCCACTTTGCTCATCTTCTTGTTGGCCGCGCCGTTGGGGACGTGCTCGCGAAGCGTGGCGAAGCCCAAGTTCACCAGCTTGACGCGGTTGCGCTCCCGCTCGTTGCGCCGCGCTACGGCGGCGGGCTGCTGCTGCGGGAGGCTGTAGCCGAAACCGCTGAAGTTGAGCCGCCTCTTGCAACGCATCAGCTCCGGCGAGGCCGAGCGCTGCCGCTTTGCGGCCCGCGCCGCGGAAGGCTTCCCGCCGGGAGACGGCCGCCCGCCCGCCGGGCTCAGTTGCGGGAGCGGCGGCGGCGGCGCCCCCGGGGGCGGCCCCGGCGGACCGGCGGCGGCGGCCACGGCGGCGGCGAAGAAGCAGGCGGGCTGCAGGAAGGGTGGCTGCCCGCTGGCCATCCCGGCGGGGCTGCCGCTGGCCATGGGCGCGGGGGCGTCGTGCGAGGCGGGGGCGCTCCCCGTTGCCCCCCGCCGGAGGTGGAGAGGGAGAGAGAGAGGAGGGGAGGGGGAGAGAGAGAGAGGAGCGGCGGCTCCCGCTCGTCACGCGCGGAAGACGGAGAAGGGAGAGCGGCCGCGAAGGGCGGCGGGCGGGCGGGCAGCCGGGCGGCTCGGACCCCCCCCCTCCCTTCGCCCTCCGAGCGGCGGCGGCGGCGGGGAGGCTCGTGGCGCTCGCGTGTGCGCGGGCTGCTTTGCAAAGCCCCTTTTGCAAAACGGCGGCCGGGGATTGTGTCTCTTATAAGGGGCGGACGGGGCTCGGGGGGTTATGGGGGACTCCCCGCCCCGGGACGCACACGCCCGCGCTGCCCCCCGCCCGCCCGCCCGCCCCCCGTTCCGCCGCCCCCGCCGCACGCGCGCTACCCGCCGCGCGGCCCCGCCTCCCCCCGCCCCCCCGGGGTCCGCTCCCCCCGCCCCCGCCCCTCCCGGGTTTGTTGTTGCAAGTGCGTGCGCTCGGCGCGTGCCGCGCTCCCGGCCCTGAGCAAACACCCGCGCCGGGGCGCCGGGCCGGGCGGCGGCGGTGGCGGAGAAGGAGGAGGAGGAGGAGGGGGGAGCGGCCCGACGGGGCGGGTCGTGGCGCGCGTGGACAGCGCGGGGATGGGGGACGTGGGGTGCACGGGGGGCGCGGTTCTGAGGTGGGGGTGGCTGTTACTTAGGGCTCGCGTAGCCCCCGGGATGCTCGGTCCCAGTCGTCACTCACAATGCTGGGGTCCTCGGGCACAGGACGGCCGCAGCACGCAGAGAGTGATTGTGTTTCCTGGGGCACCATAAAGGCTCGGGGTGTTCACCGGGGCTAAACAAGTGGATGTGCGCAGTCAGTGCACCCATGACTGCCAAATCCCATTTCCCATTATTTGCCTGGATACTCTATCCTCCCTAAACGTTGCTGCCTCCCCAAGCAGGTGATGGCATCATGAGAGCATGGGGATCCCGGGTGACACAGCCAGGGGAACACAGCCACATGGCCATGACCATTGGCACACAGCCAGGCTCAGCACTTCTCCTGCCCTCCTGGCTTGCACAAATCCATGTATCCATGCAAGACTGTCACACAGTTTTGAATATTGCTCCCCACCTTTTTGTGTCCTTCTCCACTCTGAAAACTCAGAAATTAGTACTACCTGTTGCTCTAAACAGCAGGGCTGTTGGCAGTAGCGTTAGCAAGGGTGGGATTACCTCCCTAGGAAGTTCCCAGCAAGTTGTGTCCATTGCTCACAGCAGCCTGAAGGTATGGTGGCAGTTGACCTGCACAGCGCAGTCTGCTCAGGTGTCCGTTGAAATGAGGGCAAAAAGCAGGTCTGCAGGCCCTGCAGACCTCACCCACAACAGCCTCGAGCTGCAAAGAGCCCCCCCTCTGCCACTGCAGCCCTGATTCTTGCTAAGCGCTTGGGTGTCAGCAACAGTGCAAAATGGCAGAACTGTACTGTGCACCCACTGGATGGTGTCTGAGCAAATTATCGTGGCACTCCTTAAGGCAATTGTATGATGGAAATGATTAAGTGTGTCTGTGAGGTCTAACCTCTGGCAAATCTTTTATTTCTGGGTCTTCTTCACTGATCACTGATTTTTGTTCTGATTTTTAGCTTACTGTCCCATCAAACATAGAAAATTAATTGATCTTCTCTTACAGGACACATGCAGACAGGATACAGCACTTGTTTTTAGTCTCTGCATATTGAATTTGCATTCCATTCAACACTTTCTTGATGATTTGCCCAGAGAAGCTATGGATGCCCATCTCTGGAAGTGCTCAAGGCCAGGTTAGATGGGGCCCTGGGCAGCCTGAGTTGCTGGGTGACTGCCCTGCCCACAGCAGAGGTTTGGAAATGGGTGGGCTTTAAGATCCCTTCCAGCCCAACCATTTTATTACACTGTGATTTGCTCAGGGACATCCTCTGTCTGACATCACTATGCTAGAAGCAGCATCAGGAGCTCCAGATGCAGTGCATCATCTACTCATGGTATGACATCATAGGAGTGAGAGAATGGGAACACATAAATGCTGATATTCACCTCCCAGTACTCTGGAATGGGGCAACAGAGATCAGGAAATTAATTACCAAAGGAATTGCTACCCTGTAAGCTGTAAATGTGCTTAGAGTAATTGTTCTGATGTTGCTTCAAGAACTGGCATGGAAACACCACAGCATGGAGGTTCCCGTTCTTTTCTCCAGAACGCAAAATGGGACAAGAGTTCCTGAGTCCAAAGTTCTTCAGTCTCAGGAGGCTCTGAAGGAGAGCTCTTAGAGAGGCAAAAGTTGTCAGTCCCTGAGGTCACCACATGTAACTGTGCATCAATCCTTTGCCTGTCTTTGCCCAGATTTTCCAGCTCCCTGTCACCAGGCAGTGATGGAGACAGAGCCCTTCCTTCCCTGTGCCATCCACACTGCAGTGGAACAAGCCCATCCTTCACGTTGCCCCAGTAATGCCAATCTCAGCATCTCCCCATATTGCTTGCTCCACAGAGCAAAAAGTCCAAGGCTGTCAGATATACAGATAACAAATATTGCTGCAAGGCCCCCGCTGCCACCCACTTGTGTGCATGGTCCTGCACCTGAACTTCAAAATTCCTAATTCTAACATAATGATAAATAGCCCCCCACCTTTTTATTTTTTTTTTTTTTTTTTTTCCTTTCTTTTCCTTTTCTCTTTTTCTTTGTTTTCCTTCCTTCCTTCCTTCCTTCCTTCCTTCCTTCCTTCCTTCCTTC